GTGTGTGAGCTCCGGTGGGGTGCGACAGTCTTAAAGGATCCTTTCATTGCATTGACCACAGTATTTATTTTCTGGGGAATGCATGTGAAACCCATCCTACTGTCTCAAAGTCAAATGTTCTTCTGGCTAAGATGTACTTTCTGCTGCAGTTATAGTTGCAGACCTGCAGATCTTTGATGTACGTGACCCACATTAAGGATGTCATTTTACCTTGTGTGCCACATGCAGCTCACTTTGATCTTCTATCTGGGCTTTCTGTCAGTTTAAAGAAGTTTAACTACAGATTTAATCTCTGACATGTCTTTAATGTAAGATAACGAAGTGCTGTTTCAACAACACATCTCGCTTTTTCTAGGAAAATAAATAAATATGTTAGCATGCCTCTTTGGGATAAATTGTAATAATTGTATGTGTAAAATTGTGAAAATGCTCTGTTAGCTCATTGCACAGACTCTCCTGTAATTGTAAAACAGATTTTTATTTGCAAGCTGACAGAATATGTCCCGTTTTACTTTGAACCTAAAATCATAAATCATACATTTCTACAGTAGATGGTGAAAAAACAGGAAATTTTCTGTCATTTATTTGTTTATCTGTTGCTTCATTACATAAATGGAGGTCTGTACCACTAGTTAAAAATCCAAAATGTATGCCCTTCTTCCCATTTTCCAGAGCCACCCAGTTGGACTGGATTAGAGTCTTTTGCAGGCTTATTCTGTTTGACCTATGTGCTTTGTAAGAACATTTAAATACAGTATAGAATAGAAGGCTACAAGAAGTTTTGGTGTATATGAGGTTGAAATCAAAAATGTTAATTTTTTATGTTCTTTCTTCTCAGGTACATCCAGCCATGATTGAGGACAAGGGTCACCGCGTGACCGACTACTTTGTGGTGGCCGGGCTGACCGACAAGTCCACGCCCCTGGAGCAGGACCTGTCGGAGACTAAATCCACCGGGCCCAAAGCGCCCATCACTGAGTTGGCCGTCATTAACAAGTCAGCAGGGGAAACGGTGCCTGAAGGCTTCACTTGTATCGAGAGCACCTACAGCGGCCAGCCAGCCAACCTTAATCATGGCAGTCTCAAGAGCCCTGAGCTCTTCCTCTGCTACAAGAGAGGACGGGGTAAACCTCCGCTGATTGACATCGGGTGAGTCAGCCATTTATTTACAGTATGCTGGTGTTTGTTATCACAAATGCTCATTTGCCTGCAGGAGGAGGAGACCATTATAAGTGGGGTTATTTAGCAATTTTAGAACTAGGTTTTACTGATGAATAGCACGAGAGAAAAAAAAATACATCATTTTAAACTCATGTGTTTAAATGATGTAATCAGTACACAAGTTCTCCTGTAAGCTGTAAATTCAGACAGATGAAATATGTTTGGTTCATCCTGCCAAGTATATAAAAATGAGGAATGAGATTTTTTTTTTTAATCCACTTTGTTGTGAATCTTTAGGTTCATCCTACCGCTCTGATTTCTTGTTGTGTTATTGTGATTAAGGCAGGTTAGAGAAAGAAGTGAGCTTGTGTGGAAGAGAAACAAGCTGATCAATTACACCTGCTACAAATAGCTGTAATTGCTGTGCAGATTGCTAGCTGGCATGCTGGCAGTTGATCATACGCAGAAAGCAGCCCTGTGGTGAAAAATCTGATCAATCAGCTAAGTGGGTCACTAGTGTGCCGGTGCTGTCACGTCATCATTCAGAATTTCACATGAAAAAACCTTTTCAGCAGCATCATTTGATGACTGTCACTGTCAAAAACCCCTTTTTTGTTTTTTTGGGGTTTTTTTCCCCCCCCCTGCCAATCAGAACCTGGCACTGTTAGGTTTGTCAGTTTGTTTTTTATACCTGACAAAACATTACTGCAGACATTCAGGAAGTAGGCGAGTTAGCTGTTTATTCACTCTCCCCTATTTTGTGACAAAGTTCCCCCTCTCCGCCACGCCTCTTGGCTCATATCTGACGATAGAAATTTCCCTGCTTCCTACTATTATGTTTTAAAAGGGAACTCCAATATATTTCACTTCACGCAGCGAGGTATGCGCTAAGCCTTACTAGCGTCACAGGAAGCCGAACTTTTAATCTACATCTCATCAGCAGCAGCACTTTATCCTGTTACCTGAGTGAAGGAGCAGTATCTCATGCAGTAATGCATCTTTCAGAACAGTGATGCAACCTCTCGAGGCATTCACCTTCTTCACACACCTGAGCTTTGTCTAAAGCCTGTTTTTTTTTCTCCTGCTAACAAACTGGAGTTTCCAGTTACAACTGCCAGAATTCTCCTGCTCCCTCTCTGGAAGATTCCCCTCCTGTCTGCAAATCAAGACT